GCATCGGTCTCCGCCTTGCAAACACTCATGTGGAGAAAGAGGGCACTTGCCAGTGTCCACTGCCCGCAGCGTTCGCAGGCACCCAAACATGAGTTGAAGCTGTATGTTGTGGGCGACATGCCAGACCTGAAGACAAACTCTCGCAAGCTTTCCACAGCATGGGCCCACCATCTGCCGCAAGCGCTCATCATCGAGTTGAATGTGACTTCGTCGGGCACCAAACCCTCGCGAGTCATCGTGTCGAGTAGTTCGATGGCACTGTTCCAGGCCTGTGACCGCTCACAAGAGGAGATCCCGACATTGTATGCAATCACGTCAGCCTCAACATTTCGAGCCCGAAACTGTGGAATGAGCCCTAGTGCTATCTGCCACAGCTTCTTCTTGCTGAGCGTGGCCACGACAATCCCCAGCTCTTTGGCGCTCTGGACGTGCCTGTGAAGTCCGGTGTTCGAGTCCTGACCAGGATCTTGAAGGGCCGACCGCAGAGCACCTGATGGGCAGGAGCCAACTAACAAAGCTACGGGGGACCGGGAGGCACTTCGAGTTCGCATCTCTTACCGACTACCGGCTCAAACATACGGCACCCTAGGCCAGGGAAGTCCAGCAAGCCCTCGTCACCTTCCACACCTGGACCTAGCCCCTTCAGCATGCGTGCTGTTCGCAAGCGACCAGACGAAGTCTTTTGTTTGTGTTGCACGGCATGCGAGGCGCATAGCAAGCCCACAGTCCTTTAATTTCTACAGAGTGCCACAAGTCCACCTAGCCGTAGTTTTCAACATTGGCACAGCTCAAAAGTGATCACTAGTGCGGCCTCCTAGGAAAACTCAAGTATGATAGCAGGCCGGCAGGAAACACATGTTCCAACGGATGCTACAGATTTGAGCTGTGGCTTGGTCCCGGCAGCACTGCTTGACGTGACAATGCTCGTTGTGCCCACCAGCCCGCCAATCCATCGCAGAAATCTGGCACCTACTGCCACCGACCCAAAGCACAGCGACAAATCAAATCGTTTCTGCTGTATGCGAACAAGGATGGCCAAAAGCTATCTCTTATCGCTTGATGCGCCATCGTTGCCTCCAAATCGCGCGAGGACCGAGGTGTTGCTTACCCTACCTGCCCTGTTTTTCGTGGACCTTCAATTCAAGTCAGGGGCCCTCATTGTAGAAACCGAGAGTGTGAACCATTGCTCCTGGAAGAACTGATATGGCGACTGCTAGTAGGCTAGATTTTTGCAAGGCCATTTGGTCTATTAGGCATTTTTGTCTTCCTAGCTTACCTCTGTCTCGACCGGACAAAAGCCTGGTGCCTGCAGGTGTCTTCTGCAGCAGCTGCAGCAGCTCGCTGAATGTATTCGCAGCACGCCCAGCCCGCAGCATTTCTCTCTGCCGTGGCCTGTGGCCATTACAGCCCTCCGTGCCGCTGAGTCTTGAGCACCCTGGTGTAAAGCCTTCCAGGGCTTGACGCTCCGTTGCAGCTCCCGGTATCCTACAGGCCGAGAAGCCTGCGCCATGCAAGCCGAGAGATGAGGCAACAAACACTCAGTAGGTAACAGGCAGTACCAGGTCGTAGCAAGTGCACCCTTCTAGTAAAGAAAGTAACCTACGAAGCGAATTTCTTCCGCACGGTAACTATCGCGAAATCAAGGATTTAATTTCGACGCTTTCACTGTGCGACGTGCATACAGTTTCGTCTAGTCGCAGGGCTTCGAAAGGAAGCGACAACAGCTGCTGGATCCAAGCCGCATCGCACTCCATATCTATCTTGAAACGGCATGGCATGACATAACTCCTGGAGATGAGTGCGGTGCTGTTGCGCTCAGCATGCGTACGAAGAACAGCTTTTCTCTTGGACTGGTCGCAACAGCCAGCCAGGGCCAAGCACGTTGTGGTGTCAAGCCAAGGCTGCTGTGAGGCTGACTCGTTGCAGCCGCACAGCGCTTCACAGGAATGCATGCCCGGCATGCTGCGAACCCACCCGGTCGTCCTGACCTCAACATTGCAGCATGCCAATCAAGGTGGAAGTGCCAGCTGCATGCTGCTGCTAGAGGCTCTTCATGTGTTTCTTTGTGAGTGCGGCTTGGCGGCCAGGTTCTTGACGCCGGGCAGGCATGGACACAACCAGCTCGGCTCCTGTCGCACGTTTCCATTCCAGCTGATGTCTGTTTCTGCTCTTTGTGATGGAGGCACCAAGCCTCCGATGCTGCTCATTCTCGTCATCAGGCCCTCTTGCCAGCTTCCTTTTTTTACAACCTTGTGGCATTTGCGGCATGCCAAGCCTGAAGCTGTGACTGCTCGGATGTTTGCGAACCCCAGCAACGCGCCTCGCAAAGGACCCGAGACGGCTTGCCAACCTCAAAGCGTGCACGCAGCAGTCCACCGCATGACCACTGCAGAGGTCGCGAAGTTTGCCGCTCTGAGGCAGCTGCGCACTCGACATGGGACTTGCACACAGGATGCTTCACCATTTCCTTAGAGCGAATCGGAAGCCGCTTTGCTGTGAACCAGCGTGCACTTCGAAACATCTTCCACCACGTGTCAAACTCACCGTCCTCCGGAAGCGTCATGACCCTCGGCATGCAATCCTTCAAGACATCAACCGTGCCAAGCACTTATCAAGCAGCAGACCCCTAGCATCCAAGACTTGTGCATCTCATCGTCCTCTTCTCCAGGTAGACCACATTTGGAAAAGCACTTTTCCTGAGACCATGACAGAAGAAATATGAATTACATAATGTTACACCTTGAAGACCGGGTGCTCCCTCGTAGAGCACACCAGGCCGGAGGTCCTCGCACAAAGGCACCTGTCCACTGCGTCAAAACGCAAGTTCAGCTTTTGTGCTCGTGACAGGACAGGAGCGCCATCACAACTCGAGCGCGGGGGGGCTCCGAAGCACAAGCTGTTGCACATAGGGCCTTTGATTCTCTTGAGGGCCGTCTTGGTATCCTTTGTCAAATTGACTCCCGTTGGTCTGATGGTTCACGCCCACGATACACGAAGCGGCTTGAGCATCAAATCTGAAATCGCCTTGTTGTTTGCACTTGCCACCGCCTGTCGCTGTGGCACTTCCAGGACAGTCTGCAATAGACATCCAGAGACTTTGCTTAAGGCGTCCGGCTTGGAAATCACAAATAGTGCAATTTGAAATATGACTTCCGGTTTGAGGGAGGTGTATTGAAAACTACTGAGGAATACGCAGGCAAGCAGCATCGAATTTCGGAGTCACATCCATCACAAGGCAACAGTGAAGAAAGGACAGTTCCCAGACTTGGAGACAATAGAGACAGACCAGGGCACCTGCAACAGGGTGCCCGATCACTTCTGTCTT